CATTTCCCTCTGCCCCAGAGTGCCCACCCCACTTCCTTCTTGCCCCAGAGTGCCCACCCCACTTCCCTCTGCCCCAGAGTGCCAACCCCTTCCCTCTGTCCCCGGAGTGCCCTACCCCATTTCTACTTCTCCTTGGCACCAGCCTCCTTTTCCGCGTTGAGACACACCGTGGCATGTTTACTGGACGCTGTCCCATGTCCTCATATCCCCCATCTCAGCACTTTCTTAGCAGTGCAGTCTGTTCTTTGGGATGCCTTCCCACACTTTTTGGATGACAACAGTCTGCTCTGCCAGGGCACACATTTTAAAGCAGTTAACAGGCTTTAACAAGCGTGAGAGAGATGAACAGAAGCATATTGAAGGCGTCCTTGGGGCACCGTTGGCATGAACACATCTGCTTGGTTGGAGTGTGTGCTCTCAGGGTTGTTGTGTGAACTGCATCCCACTGCATCTTCTCGTTGACATCCTCCTCAGCATCCATCCAAACCTCAGCCTCAGCCTTGTAGTTTGCATCCATACAGCAGGGCTCTCTGCTTCCGTGTGATTTTTTTTTCAGAATGCTTTTCTAAAATGTAGCTCTTGCTTCATCCATTGGCAGCCCCTTTTAACAGTCAATCCCTGTTCTTCAGAGGAAGTGTTTCTCTGCCAACAAAGTGCCCTAGGTTTTTATAATGGGCCCCGAGGACTTATTTCCAGCTTACCTGTGTACCTTTGGTCTGGGTGCCTCCGTCTGCCATTCTCTAGGACTGCTAAGAATGTTTTGTCCCAAGCTGATGCAAATGTGGCTTTCTTTACCTGAAAGGTCTCTTCTTCCCATTTTGGCTAACTTGCTCTTAAACTCTGTTAATAATGGTTAATAATGATTGTCAACTTGACAGATCTATAACCACATAGGAAGCACACTTCTGGGCACAGCTATGAGGGGTTAACTAGATTGGGTTAGTCTCTGAGCACAGCTGTGAGGGGTTTACTAGACTAATTTAGTCTCTGGGCAGAGCTGTAAGGGTTTTACTAGACTGGGTTAGTCTCTGAGCATAGCTGTGAGGGGTTGAGACTGGGTAATGACATAAGACTAACTTTAATGGTGAGCAGTGTTGTGAGCAGTGTTTTACCAAAGACCCGGCAGGCTGAATAATGGGAGCTGAGCCTTAGCATACTCCTCTCTCCACTGTGGAGACCATGTGACCAGCTTCCTCAAGTTCCTATCACCGTGAACTTTCCTGTCACTACAGACTGTACCCTCAAATTGTGAGTCAAGCAAACACTCCCTCCCTTAGGTTGCCTTCATCTGGGTAGTCTGTCATAGCAACAGGAAACACAGCTACCAGGAACTCCAAGGCAGTAGCCCTTCCGCTATGGATTCTTCCATTTTCTCCTGCTCCGTCCTTGCCACCCTCTTACCCTTGAGGGTACTTACCACAACTAACCCAGATTCTCTCTCGCTGGACTGTGAACTCTGCAGGTAAGAAACTAATTTACCTTTCTGTCTCCAGACCCAACCTCACTGTTTGGTGTTTAGTAAATATTTAGTGAAAGAAACAAGGAGCCATTGACACTTTAACCCCTGTTATCAGCCAGCCAGTCATTTGATGCATTCTAGAGAATTTGTGTTTTCCCGTTTGCAGCAAGCAACCTCTTCCCAACTGGCCGAGTCACTGTTGTCAAGGTTTTCCATTGACCTCACTGTTCCTCTTCATAGCGCAGGCAGCCCTGTGGAGCTGGACCTCTTGCTTTCATCCCAGCTGTAGTTGTTACCTTTCAGCTCTGTCTTAGTCACTGTTCTGTTGCTGTGAAGAGAGCTCATGACCAAGGCAACTTCTAAAAGAAAGCATTTATTTGGGGGCTTGCTTACAGTTTCACAGGCTGAGTCCATGATCATCGTGGTGGGAAGCATGTTGGCAAACAGGCAAGTATGTCACTAGGGTGGTAGCTGAGAGCTGAGCTTACATTCTGATCAACATGTGTGAGACAGAGGGAGACAGAGAGAGAGAATGGGCCTGGCAGAGGCTCTTAAAACTTCAGAACCCACCACAGTGACACGCCTCTCTAGCAAAACCATGCTCCCTAATCCTTCTCCAAACAGTTTTACCAGCTAAGAACCAAGCACCCAAATTAGGAGCCTGTGGGGCCATTCTTATTCATCTCTGAGTTCGAGGCCAGCCCAGTCTACAAAAGCTAGTTCCAGACAGTCTCCAAAGCTATAGAGAAACCTTGTCTCAAAAAACCAGGAAAAAAATATCACCACAAAGTCTGACTCTGGCAACAGTTCAACATCCTGCAAACCTCTGCTCTCTTGATCTGGCCCTGGCACTTGCTTCCCATTCTGGCTTCAAGGTATTCTCCAACCCCCTCTAATGGCTGTGTCTGTGACAGCTTAGAAAGGCTTCCCTAGCCTCGCCTGTCATCCATGGAGCCATGTGACTTATCACATAGTGACCTTTGTCTCTTCTGCAGTCTCGGCTTCGACCCCACTCTCAGGCCCCCAGGACAAAAGCTTTTTTTTTTTCATTTTTTGACAATGGTAGGAGGGAAGATTTTTGGTATTAACTGGATTTTTAATAAATGTCAAATGAGTAAAACTAACAGAATAAAAGATGCACAATTTGATGTAAATATTCCCTAAAGTATGTACTCAGAGACTGTTTATTCATTTCCCAGCCGCCCAGACCCAAATAATCACACAGAATCTATATTAATTACAAATTGCTTGGCCAATGGATTATGCATATTCCTAGCTAGCTCTCTTACAACTTAAATTAACCCATTTCTTTTATCCTGTGTATCGCCATAAGGCTGTGGCTTACCAGGTAACGTTCTGGTGTCTATCTCCTTTGGCAGCTACATGGCAACTCCTTGACTCCACCTACTCTCTCTCTATATCTCTGTTCAGATTTCCCATCTGGCTTTATTCTGCCCTGCCATTGGCCAAAGCTAATTCTTTATTCACCAATGGTAATAAAACATATTCACAGAATACAGAGGGGAATACTACATCAGAGATATATGAAGGCTTACCCTTCTGATTTGCATTTGAGTGACCCATCCATGTCAAATTGTATGTATAATATACATAAGTTAGGATAGTGAGGAACTTAGAGGCCCCATGTTGTTATTTCAAACATAGGAAAGTTAATACAGGGATTATTTCATGACAACGAGACTAGAACAAGGAGGGGAAGCAGAGGCCAGCTGGCTATTTATTAGTAAGTGTTGGATGAAGCTGTATCACAGACTCAGAAAACCTACAAAGACCCTGGGGGTGTGGGGCAAAATGAGACAGAAGTATGCCCAGAACCCAGTTGCTTAGAAAGAAGAGATAGGCATTCAACCAGATTAAAGGCTCACGTGATTCTAAGATGTTTTCCAGTGGGCAAATGTTGAAATGAAAAGGTAAAATATAGAGACAGCACGGAGTGTCAGGAGAATTAGCAAAACCCAGCTTTGCAAAGGGAACCTATCATGTCTAACTGTATGAAATTTGAAGAACCAGTCTGCCCTACCTAAATGGGTTTTCTAGGATATAACCAAACATTGTGGAGGCAGGAGGCTGACACTTAATAGAGAGTCACTGTCCTGGGCTGCCATCTCTTGAGGTTCATGATCCTAACGTGTCTCCAGTTCCTACTCCGCTGGCTTCGGAATCATGATTGTCAGCTCATGCAGCAGCTGGAGGATGCTGGGAGCCACTTGAACACATTAGTGATTTTCAAGTTTAGGTCCTTCAGAAGCGGTTATGGTAGGTGTGGAAACAGCATTTTATTGAATGCTTGCAGTGCCCCTGAGTTGTATTTATCAAATGTGTAGTAACGGCTCTCTGTGGTGCCTGACATATAACAGTCATCATTTGAGACCCATTGACTTATAACCAACTCATTCAACTTTCTAAAATAAGTGTGTGAAGTGGGTATGAGTCCGAATTTATTTGAAATTACCAATATTCAACCATTTTACCTTCAAAACAGTGATTTAATATAGGTAGACCTAATATAATCATTTTTGAACCAGTTTTTACAAAAGACGGGGAAACTGAAGCAACAGAGGTTAAATAAGGGACCTAAGTCACAGGGATGGCAGATAGAGGCAGCCTGTGCTTAGCTGTTACTCCCTACTGATTGCTTCTGAGTGGCGCCATTTCATCCTCTTCTGCAGACCAGGAGCCTGGGGCTTGCAGTTAGGTCAGAGAGCCAGGAGCAGTGTGCTGGACTTCTATACCTGCCTAAGAACTCTGCCTTGCCTTTGTCCGTGTTATCCCACATCTGTATTTTCCATGTAAGCCACACTCACAGTGGGAAGTGGGTGGATTCTTCAGGCTTGTTACTCAGGTGTGGCTGTCATGGTGGTGGATGGGCTATTTGCGTTTACTTTGCTAGAAGCACTGTGTCATGCATTGTTTGGTCATCATAGTGATAGCAGAAAGGATGCAAACCTGCCATTCTAAACTACCTGAGCTGTTGTCTGGATACTTCCCCCAATGCCATAGTCAACAACGCCAATCTAAACTACCCAAGCGCCGGGGGGTGGTGGCGCGCACTCGGGAGGCAGAGGCAGGCGGATCTCTGTGAGTTCAAGGCCAGCCTGGTCTACAAGAGCTAGTTCCAGGACAGGAACCAAAAGCTACAGAGAAACCCTGTCTCGAAAATCCAAAAATAAATAAATAATAAATAAATAAATAAACTACCTAAGCTATTGTCTGGGCATTCCCACCCCTCCCATGCCAAAGTCAGTACCTTCTCGATTCTTCTTTGAAAACTGCCTCAAAGTCATATTTGTTCACCTGTACAAGACACTCAGTTTGAGATCACTCCCCTGTCTTTCCTTTCCCCCTCAAAACTTTATTGATTTATTGGATATACTAAGCCTTTTTGATGGAGGAAGGTCATTGGTTAATTATAATAAACCAACTGCTTGGCCTCATAGCTTAGAACATAGATGGGAGGAGTAAACAGAATAGAATTCTGGGCGGAAGAGGAAGTGAGGTCAGACTCTGCTCTGCTCCCGGACAGACCCGACAGCTCTGCTTTCTGGAGCAGAGATGGCATGCTCAGCTCTCCCAGGCAGCTCCTACCCAGGATGGACATAGGCTAGAATCTTCCCGGTAAGCACACCTTGGGGTGCTTGCACACACCATTAGAAATGAGCTATTCCAGGTGTGAGAATTAGCCTGTAAGGGCTAGAGTTCATGGGCCAAGCAGTTCTTAAATGTTTTTGTGTTGTTATTTCGGGCATGAGCTAGCCAAGCGGGCGGGGTGTTGGGGATGCAGCCCCGCCGCTCATATTTCAACACCTTATTCTAGTTGATAGGAATTCAACTATCAAAAATATAGACATATCTGTTTTATTGTATTTTCAGCCTATCCAGGAGGTTTGACTCTTAGAGAATATTAACAATTATTAATTTTTTTAAAAAAAGAAGGATTCATTGATTTTATGTGTAAGAGTATTTTGTCTGCATGTATGTCTGAGTGTTCCGTGCAGGCCTGGTGCCCTCTAAGATCAGAAGAGGACTTCAGATGCCCCTGGGACTGGATTTACGGATGGCTGCAAGCTGCCATGTGGCTGCTGGGAATCAAACTGGCAACTCTGTAAGAGCAACAGCACCCTACCTTTAACCTCTGCACCATAGCTCCAGCCCAATGCTTCCATTTATTTACTTACTTACTTACTTTTGGGGTGGGGGAGAAGCAACATGTAGAGGTCAAAGGACAAGTGGAAGGAGTCATTCTCTCCTAGCCTGTGAGTTCCAGAGTCCAAACTCAGATCATCAGACCTGGAGGCAAGCTCCTTTACTAGCTGAGCCCTCTCACCAGCCCCAGTCAAGTGTTTTGATAGATGATAGGGAATTCTAGGTCCCTTAATCCAGGGGAGCTGGAACAAGGTGTGATATATTGGATAGTTTTATGTGGAGTTGATATAAGCTAAAGTCATCTGAGAGGAGGGCGCTTCCATTGAGAAAATGCCCCCTAAGATCAGGCTGTAGGTAAGCATGTAGGCAATTTTTAAAAAATTAGTGATTGATGGGGGAGCACCCAGTTCGCTGTGCCTGGTGCCAATGGTCTGGCTAGTGGTCCTAGCCTGGGCTAGTGGTCTTAGGTTCTATAGGAAAGCAGGGTGAGCAAGCCATGAGGAGCAAGCCAGTAAGGAGCAACCCTTCATGGCCTCTGCATCAGCTCCTGCCTCTAGGTTCCTGCCCTGTTAGAGTTCCTGCCCTGAGCTCCTTTGTATGGAAGTATAAGCCAAACAAGCCCTTTCCTCTGCATCTTGCTCTCGGTATGGAGATTCATCATAGCAATAGTAACCCAAACTAATTCGTGTGGTTTTCTGACTAGCATTCTTACTATCACCTGTGAGCTTGTTTCAGCGCAAATTCCTGGGCTTCCTGCCAGACCCACTGAGTTAGAATTTGGTGAAGGGAGCCAGAGGTAAGAAAGAGGAGCCTGTATTTTGATAATATCCCCCAAGAGATTCTTACGCCTGTTGAACTTTGAGAAGCCCTGCCATGGTCTTCTCATGGCCTAGATGAGGAAGTAACACTGACTCTCAAGTCTGAAAGGGTTCCTAGCAGCAGAGCAGAGGCAGGGGCTGGGAGAGGATTGTTCCTGACTGTGAGGACAGGATATGCCGGGTTCTAAAAGTCCACAAAAGAAGGAACCACGGGAGGAAGCAGTGGTTGGGTGTAGAGATGAATTATAGCAAAGAAAGAGACATCAATCAGAAGGTGTGGAGCTGGACCCCGTGAGCTCTGAAACAGGAACACAGGAGAGAAATGGCACGGTGAACTTGCGTGCCTGAGGGGCTCATTTTCTGCTAGCCTCACAGCAGCCTGGTCACTCAGGGGCTTGCTCTGAAGAGGATGAGAACCCCCAAGAAGCCTCCAGGAATCTGTGTGGTTGGGCTTTGTAGCCCCAGGCCTCATTGCTGTCTCCAGAAGGCAGGTTAGATGGAATCAGACTAGGACTGGAGTCTTTCCTGGAAGAATGTGGACCAGAGCGTGACACTGATTGCAACAGACAGGGTGGAGTTTTCCTCAGGGAGATGAGCAAAGATATAGACCTACTGTGGTGTGGAATGTACCCCCACAGACTCCTGATCTGGATGCTTGCTTCCCGGCTTGCAGCGCTATTTGGTAGTCTGTGGAGCTTTCGGGGCTTGGGCAAGACTGGTAGAAATGGGAAATGTTGGGGCTAGCCTCCGAAGTTGGTACTTTTTTCTGTTTCTACCCTGCCGCTCAGGCTTCTGGTTCCGTACCACGTTAAGCCACTGCCATGTTTTTCCTGCAGTGAGGTCTGCCTGCTGTGCCTTCCCCACCATGACAGACTGTGAGCCAAAGCAAAGCCCTCCTCCCATAGGCTGTTTCTGCAGGTACTTTGGTCATAATAACTGGGGAAGTAACCAATGGGAAACCTAAGATGAAAGGGCTTCGTCACCCCTAAGTTGGAGGGCAGGAGGGCCAAGTGGGGAAATTCATGGGCAGGATGTCATCCATGGGAAGACAGCTGCCAGGGGTAACTCAGGAAAGCTGAAGTTGGTGAGATCACCAACTTGAACTGATGGTGAGGTTAACGTCAAAGGGAATTAGATGAAGAAGGAAGAAGGTTTATTTTCCCCCCTGAAATGCCCTGCCCCCACCCCGCCACCCGATATCCCCTCACTGTTCTGTTTCCTGTGTTCATGTCTGCTAATGCCGGTCTTTGGGAACACTGCCGCGTCCTCACAGGACCCAGGGAAGAAGAAGGGCATATTTCCACTTCTCTGTATCCTGCGGCCTCCGAATAGGAGCTGTGACGAAGAAGAGCATTTGGATAACAGGCTCCTGGTAGAAACGGGGGAAGCGCTCCAGAGGAGGTGAACCTGAGGTTGGTCGAAAGCTCCTTTATTATCTCATGGTTAGGGAAAGCTGTTTGGGGAGACAGAGGGAAGCTGCAGTCGTGGGGAAGATGCCATACTACCTGGCCCCTGTAACAGGGGCATATATAACTTTCCAGGCCGAGATCATCGAAACTACCCTGGAGGCTCCAGACTTGACTAGGTACATCCTTCCTTGGAGGCCATTGGCCTTCCGGCTGCTCAACATCCCTGGAAGGCTCCATCACACCAAAGCAGCAGGCACCTGAAAGGACAGAGGGACAGGAAAACATAAGCTGCTCTGGAAAACCTGGGTGCAAGACCTGGAGGCCTGTGGCAGTCCCTTTGGTGGATTCCAGAACCTGTCATTGTGTCTCTCCTGACTCTACAGTGAGCTGACAGTCTGTCCCCCAAGTAGAGCTGGCAAGATAAAATCCAGTAAGTTTCATTGCATTGAATTCCAGGAAAACATCAAACAATGCATGATTATTGCCTAGATACTAGGAAACATTTTATAGCCACAGAGTATCCTACATCTTATGTGTGCTAACTGGGCCTCTAAGGGGAAGGTCCCTGTTTATTTTCTCGTGGTGCTTTTAGTCTTTCATATTGGGATTCCCTCACAGGTAGAAACGTTCTGTATGTCTCAGAGGAATGAATGCTTCTCAGACTTTGGCTAGGCTCTCTCCAGACATCGTGTTTGTTCATGTATGGCCATCTAGGAAGGAAACCCAGACAAAAAAGCATGGAGGTTAGCTTTCCATTCTTCCCCAAGCCTTAGCTGTACCTGTAAGGGGCTAGCCTGTGAACTGGAGGCAGGCCAGGAGGAGTCATGTACGCAACCATGGGCTCAGACACTGTCAGGTAAGCTCTTCTGGTCAGCGACCACCACTCTGGCTGCAAACTCCTGTGTGGGTTAGTTGAAGAAGGAAGGGGTCTCATAGACACGGTACTGCGGTACTGTTCTTTCTTGAGCAGCACACTCTCAGCCTGAGACCTGGACAAACCATTCCCCTGACTCGAGACTCTTACTCACTGCAACCCTCTGCCTGGGGAGTTCTGACATTTGGTTGAAACATGAATCCATGGAATGCAACTGGCAGATTCCTGAGCTTCAGGCCACCACTTCGGGGAAGACTCTTCCCTTACCGGAGTGGCCACACAGGTGTCTTGACAGGAATGCACATGGGCACCTTCTTGAAAGAAACAAAAACAGGATCAAGGAAAGTCAACAATGCTGCTAACTTGAAGGTGGATTAAGAGTACAGGTTCCTGGTTCTGGGGGTGGCTGGAGTCAGAACTATCTCTCTGTTTTCTTTATTTGGGAGATCACGGACAGTAGCTAAAGTTCTGGGTAGAACAACAAGACGGAGTTTGCTGTAGACGAGCCGGCCTGGGCCATTGCTGTCATCTGTGATTTAAGATATAACTCACTGACATGAATGAATGCCTGTCCGGCTGTTCTACTGAGGCCTATGGGGCAAGGCTACCCCCTTGTGGTAGGGTTTGGGACTGCTCCCTAAGATGCAAGTTTCATGTCAGTCATTTTAAGAAGGTCCAATTACACAGGATTAGATAAAACCTCAACAACAGAGGCTTAAGCACACAAGATTTACTTCTCCTTCTAAAAGAAAGGCTAAAAATGGGCAGTCGTAGCTTCTGAGGTCACTCCTCGGTCTCCAAAGACGCAGGCCTGCATCTATCACTCAGGTGAATTAGTCTTAATGAATGGTTTCTTCTCAAAGTCACAGGACAGTTACTGGAGCACTAAGCATAATATCCATATCGTAACCTGGATACAAAAAAAAGGGGGAGGGAGGATATGGCAGATGTGAGCTGTGCATTTGTGTGTTGGAATGAGGTCTACCAGCCGATTCTCCCTTTAAATAGTCTTTCTGAAACCCTCTAACACATCCACTGCTAACCCTTTCTAAATAAATCAGTCGCTACCACCACGGAAGTAAAGGAATAAATCTCGAAGGGCAGCCGCGGCGTTTGTGTCTTTGGGAACCAAGCAGGCTTGAGGCTTTCAAAGCCATTTGACTTTCCTGGCTGTAGGTACGTGCTGGACTCTCTCACCTGGAGCCAGCCCTGAAGCCAGGAGGTCTGGAGGATTCTGGCAGGACTGTTTCAGGGTGGCTGCTGCCAGGAATTAGAGGCAAAATCCCACAAATCTTTCTTACACTGAGACCTGGCTCATCTCTGTGGGATTGTGGGCAGGCGAGGCGGAGTATGGGTAAAGGGTAACAGTTTGTGGGGTGCTCATTGGTAGAGGGGGAAAGAGTGGTTGTGGTTCCACAGATCTTGGTCACTGAGAGCTGCCTGAAGTCCTAGAGCCCTAGTTGGTTTTTGGTTGAGGCAGAGGATCTGGCTCTTGGCAGCCTATGGAGGAATCTTGAGTGAAAACCTAACCACGAACAGGTCAGACCTATTTCCCTAGATACATGAAGACGACCACCCAGGCTTAGCGGGAATGACAGGCTGCTCTGGTCCTGCAGACTTTAGTGATGCAATCAGTACGGCCCTGGACACACTGGAAGAGCCAATCAGTTTAGGAACATGCACGAGATAAGTATCTTCCAGGGACCCTTAGCTTTGCCTACTGGGTGCTCGGGGCTAGATACCTGTGAGTTACAGCCAGGGCTCAGAATCATCAGGTTCTGTTTTTACAGAGACGGGATATGTGGACCAGAATAAAGTAGCAAGGGGAGGGGGAGGAGAAATCAGCAAATCTTCCAAATTCTGCAACATCATCCAGAGAGCCCAGGGTCGGGCTGCTTCCTTCTCGGTTCCACCCACAGGGTCACGTGTCAGCAGCCCTCCAGAACACATCAAGTTACTTCTGGAGTTCCTACCCGGAATGGATCCCCCCCCCCCATTCATGTACTTGGTGAGGTCCTGTTGCCCTTTCAAGTTGCAGTTTAGGACTCACCTCTGTGGAGCCTTCTCTAGCCCCCCTCTCCTGGACATGCTAAATACTCTCTCGCACTGGCCACCATTGTACCTGGCGTGCCCAACCACACTGCAGCCGGTTGTCACTCTGTGGCACACGTCAGTTTCTTACACTGTCCAATCATCTCCCAAGATTTCTAAGTCCTAACCCTAAGGCAAGAGTCACACCGTGTGGTTCGTATCATAGATACTTAATTTATTAGGAGGGTTGATCAGCGGGTGTGGATGTTTCTTTATGTTTGTGTTTATTGAATGTGTTCCATTCTGGGCAGCAGAATATTGGCCACAACTCTCAGTTGCCTCCACTCCTACTGATTTATCTGTTGAATGGTTTATTTAACATGAGGATTTATAAAGCCAAAAGGGGATTTATAAGAAAATATTGCCATGGAGAATAAATAAAACCTATACACACAATAAAGTGATTCATTACTGATAATATTGAAAATAAAAATCTATGTCTTCCTACCAGTTACATTAAGCAGACATAGATGAAAAATAAGTCTTATTTTAGAATTATGGACCCTTTCGTTGCCTCTCACTAGAACTAGAAAACTCTCTGAATGAATATGGATGCATTTAGACAGAGCGGGGTAAGTTACATTTCATTACAAAATCACAGCAAGATAAAAGCAAAAATAGATGTCAAAGCTCAGAGAGTTAGTGAAGGTGAAACATCCCCCCCCCACCACCCCACCCTCCCCCACCACCCCACTACTCCAGCGCCAGCTTGTTGCCTTGGTGGGTCGCTTGACTCATACTGCCACCAAAGCAGAAGAAAAAGCGCTGCGCAGTCCTGTGGCCAGTTTCCTGCAGAGAACCCAAAGCCATCAAGTGGCCCAAGACCCCCCTGCGAATGAAAATAGGGACCATTCTGGCCAGATGAGATTCCTGTTCTCTGGGGAAGGGTGCTGTTGGGGAGATAGGTAGGCGGCGGGCGGAAGTGCGGGGAGGCAGAAAGGGAAGAGGGGGGAATCTCTGTCCCTCTTGAGGTCCTCGGCTAGGTGGGGAAGAAGATGCATAACCCGGCAGACATCTTCTCAGGAGCCTGAGCTGCTTTCCTGGGTTCTAGTATCAGACTGTCCCAGTCGCTCACCCTGGGTCAGGCTCTTTGGGGACGGAGTGTGAGCATCAGGCGATTCTGATGAGGACTCACTCCCGAGGGAGCTACAACTGGGGAATGAGTGTCCCTCGAGTCCATGACAGGGAACCTGGGGTTCACCACTTCACCAGGGAACACGATGGCCACTTTCCAGCAGTCACCAGTGCGGAGATCTGAGCGGGGAGTGGGGGAGGGGGGAAGGGCTGTGCTGACACTGGAACCACAGCAGGCGCTTGCTCAGCCTGAGCGTGAACCGCACCAGCTGTGTCTGTCAGCAGGGCCACCAGCCTCAGTCTCTAGACCTAGCTTCCCAAACTGTCCCTCTCGGGTATCACACAGATTCATGCTCATGCCGCCGAGGGATGGGCTCTTCTTTCAGCGTCACATTTTGGCCAAACTTGCTGTGAATTAATAATATCCTCTCTTTGGGTTGCCTCTGGCTGTAGCAGGCCAGGACTCTACGCAGGTATGGGGCTACTTTCTGGGTGGACCTTCAGTTCGGCATTAAGGGCTATCCACCCTCCATACTTGGAACCGTACTTTCTCCCCCCCCCCCCCCCCCCCCCCCCCCCCCCCCCCCCCCCCCCCCCCCCCCCCCCCCCGCTTGGTTGCAAACTGGTCACACCGGAAACCACACAACTGCAGAGGACCATCTGGGTGAACTTAGCTTTCATTTGCAGAGCCTCCAGTGGGATCAGAAGCTGAGCCTGACTCAGGTTCAAGAGGACATGTCCAGGGACCCACTTCACTGGATCTAACTCCGTGGTGGTAACAATCGCGGTGGCTGGTTCTCAGAGCATTTTCACAACTGCCCTGTGCAGAAAGATTTACTTTTCCCGGTTTATCCTAAGCAATCCACTGGACAGAGTTTAGAATGTTTTCCAAAGTCACACATGATATAAATGATGGGAATAGTATTTTAACTTATGTCAGTATCAGTCTTGACCGCGGAATTTAGGCTCTTAAACAGCAGGCCACACAACTGGTCAGCACCGAGAGTTCTGTAGAGCTTAACAGTGAGTGGGTGCCTGAGGGCAGGGCCACAGCCCAGCAAGAAAAACTTCTGTCAAATGCTCTGTAAGGGTCAGTGGGGGTATAACGGAAGCCTTACTAAAGAGCCCCCTCCATATGGTGGAAAGATGAACTGAGAAGGAAAACATTTAGGAAATGAGATGCATGTAACATCTAATTGGTCTTAATAATAGAAACCCAGAGCCAGCTATCAGGGGGTGTAAGCTGATCATAGAAGCAGAGCAGCCAGTCACTAGGGGTCTTGCCTCTTCGGAATCTTCCGACTGAAAGGGGCAAGATCCTGTCTCTACGAATCCTCAGACTGCATGTGCTGAGCTCTGTCTCCTCCTGCCTTATATTCCTCTCTTGACCCAGCCATATCACTTCTGTCTCTGCCTCCGTAGTGCTGGGATTAAAGACGTGAGCTCCGTTCCTCTTTTAGACTGATTCCGTCTCCTGTAGCCCAGGGTGGCCTTGAACTCACAGAGATCCGACTCAAGAACTGGAATTAAAGGTGTGTGTCACCACTGCCTGGCCTCTGTGTCTAACTAGTGTGGCTAGCTCTGCACTCTGATTGTCAGGCAAGCTTTATTTGTTAGTTCACAAACAGAAGCAATTAAAGATATATTCAAAATATACACTGAGAAAAGCTATAATTTTTACCATGGGACAAACGACGACTAGCTTTGGGAAAATATATTAGAGTACCATTAAACAGTTAGGTGACAAGATACATTTCAATTTGGAAACCAGACAGCCAATATGAGTGGCAGATGGCATGGGTAGGTTAAGATGAAGCAGCTACTTCCTAGGGACACTGAGCCTCCTCAGGCTTCGTTTTGGACATAACAGCCACAGTCTCCCTAATCATGCCTAGCTCTGTCTGAAATGGTAGCTTTGCTTGTTTACAAAGTCTCCCAGTTGTGAGGCAGACTCTTCTATATTAAATTATCTGGTAAGGCCTCCAGGACGGTTTATAAATACAAGCTATGTGTGAACAAAGTGTTCCTTCATCTTCAGGTGTGATAATTTGACAGACTTTCTTCACATCCTGATGTCTGGGAAGCGGGCCTGGAAGAAGCTTTGGTGCCATGTTTCTTTGATGCAGATCTAACCTCTCAGGTCAGCTCTGGTGTTAGGATACAAATAGCCACAAGGAGTGGCCTGGCCAAGCCTAAGCAGCCCTGCCTGCTGATGAAACACGCTCCCAGGAGACAGGGTCTGGAGGTGATTTGGGTCTGACAGCTCAGCCTCCAAGCCACATTTTCCTTGCGTCAGGAAGATGAACACCAGGTCTGCTCCCTGTGCTCACAGCAATTAGACCTTTATTAACATCCCAGAGCAGCTGGGACTAGAGAGAGTCTCAAGTGCTCACATTCTTTGAACATACAAATTTTGAGCGGGTGGCAGCTGCCGAGACCACATTTATTCATCTTGAGCCAAAATTCTCATACTTTGACCCCATGTCCCAGGCCTCTGAGAAAATAGGGCTGCAAAGTTCTGTCTGGGGAATCAAACCCTGTCCGTTAGACAAAATGGCTTTTCTCCCAGCCCTCTTTCCAACGACGTTGCCATTGGCTCAGGGTTTGTAAAGGAACTCGATTTTCTAAATTTAGGGATTGGCTCATTTCCACTAAATGTGGCATTAGCCTGTGTCTTCTGTGCCTGTCCTCCACTAAGGGTCTCCCATACCTCTATTCAGTGGGACTTCATAGAACAGTGTGGTGAGTTGACCTAGTCCACCTGCCTACCCATTCAAGACTCTTTCTCGGGTTCTTGCCTCAGTTTCTTTCCCTAGAGGCTCCTAAGTGTCTCTGTCATATAGAATGCTTATTCTCCACAGCTCTCTTCTCATATTGCTTTCTAGAGAAAGGAGATGGAGGCTGTGAAATTAATTCCTTTTCTCCCTATCAGGGGATGAAGTCTGACTTAACCTTCAAGAATGAGACTCAATGCTACCTGCTCCAGAAAGATTATTTTTTTTATTTCCTCCGTGTTAATAAATTAGCATCATAATAGGCACTCTGGTGGGTTAAATTCTGTTTTACTTCTCAAAAAAGTAGGCTAAAGTCTCAATGCTTCAGAATGTATCCTTGTTTAGAGACCAGGTCTTTACATATGATCATATTAAAATTCAGTTCTTAGGGTGAGCCTTAATTCTATATGTTCAGCGTCCTTAAAAAAAGGAGGAATTTGCATATAGAGACAGATGCAAGTATAAAAGGGAAATAATACGGAAACCCAGGGAGAAGACAGCCCTCCGACAGACCGAGGAAAAGGCCTTCCTTGCAGCCCCCAGAAGGCATCCTGACACCTTAATTTTGGGTATCTAGTTTCCAGAACTATAAGGTAGTAAACTTCTGTTTGAGCCACTCTGTCTGCTGTGCTCTGCTACAGGAGCTCTGGGAAGCTAGCAGCTTTCACAGCTAAGCCTTTGGTTTTCTGCAGTTGGAAAAGTTACCTTTCGTTTGTTTTTACGGTGGCTCTGGTTGTGTGTGCTTGTCATCCCGCACTTGGAAGCCTGGGCCTCAGAAATAAGTAAATAAATAAATAATAGAATGCAATAGAAAAGAACACAAGTTGTATAAGCAAAAGAAAGAGAGAGAGAGAGAGAGAGAGAGAGAGAGAGAGAGAGAGAAAGAAAGAAAGAAAGGAAAGAAAGAAACTTCAGCAGAAAGGTGGTTCACAACCGTTCACTGAGAAAACTCTCTTTTGGGTCTGAACTATATTTATAATATAAAACATATGCATGTGGCTTCTGATATATATAGAGAGAGTATATTGTACATATATACATATAGAGAGTATACATATATGTGCATACAATATAGATTAGATAGATAGATAGATAGATAGATAGATAGATAGATAGATAGACAGATACAGTTATCACTTAGTACTTAGTATTTCTAGGCTATTGACTCTAGGACTCCTGCAAATACCCAGATTCACAGATGTCAAGTCTAATATAAAATGGCACAGTAACTGTTTGAAAGAGAATTGTCCCCAGAGGCTCAGGCGTTTGAACACTTGGTCCTCAATTGATGGTGTAGTCTTCAGAGGTGTGGCCCTGCTGGAGGAAGTATACTGAGGATGAGCTCTGAGGGTGTATAGATTGACCTGACTTCCGGGTTGCCACGTCTGCTAGGTGCTTGTGGCTGAGGGTGTGAGCTCCCAGCTTCCTGCCCCTTGCTGCCATGCTTCCCCGTGGTGGACTCTTGCCCCTCTGGAGCTGTAAACCCAGACAAACTCTTTCTTCTGTAAGTTAATTTTGGTCTTGTGCTTT